AAACACCCAGAATGTAGCCACAGAAGCAATTACACTTCATTCTTGAGCAACATGGGTTTGAACTGCATTGCATGGGTCCACTTATTGTATTTTTTCCAATAAATACTGCACATGTATTTTCTTTTCCTTATAATTTTCTTAATAACATTTTCTGCTCTCTAGCTTTATGGTAAAAATACAGTGTATTATACATATACCATACACAATATATATCAATGAACCGTTTATATTATTGGTAAGGCTTCCAGTCAACAGTAGGCTATTAGTATTCCACGTTTAGGGGAGTCAAAAGTGATACAAGGATTTCTGAGTGCATGGAGGGTCAGTGCCCCTCCCCACTCACATTGTTCAAAGGTCAGCTGTATTGATTTTTGATGGCACCAAAATTAGCCAAAGGGAAAAGAAAAGTATGTTAAGCAAATGGTGCTCAAATAGCTGGGTATCCACATGCAAAACAACAGACCACACCCCTACCTCTTCTCATTAAAAAAAAATATATATATATATATATAACAAATTTTAAAACTCTTCATATAAAACCATAAAGATTTTAGAAGACAATATAAGAGGATATCTTTCTCTGAGTTGTAAGGAGTGGAATGGCTTGATTCATAAAATATGTGAGGTTTTTATTTTAAGAAACTGCCAATCTGTTTTCCAATAGAAAACAGATTCTATTTTATATTCCCAGATAGAACACAGAAAATAGTAACCATAAAAAAATTGATAAACTGAGGTTTATCAAAATTAAAAGCATTTGCTCTAAGAAAATGCACAGAAAACCTACAGTCTGGGAGAAAATATTCCTAAAACATACCTGGCAAAAGACTGATCCATAATATAGGAATAATTCCTCCCAATCAGTAAGGAAAAAGAAACAAAACTGAAAAATATGCAAGTGATTTTAACAGACACCTAACAAAAGATGCTTAAAAAAATAACATGTGAAAAGTATTCACTGTCATTAATTATGAAGGAGATGCAAATTAAAACCACAATGAGGTATCACAGCACATCTACCAGCGTGGCTGGAATTAAAAAGACTGACAAATCTTTATAACAATGGAAGGCATCTGAACTCTCTTGCTTTACTGGTGACTGCGTAACACAGTCCAACCACGTTGGGAAAAGATCTGCTTGCTTTTTATAAAACTAAATACATGGGTACTCTATAACCTCTCAATTCCATTCCCTGTCATTGTCCCAAGAGAAGTGAAAATCTAAGACTTGTAAATAAAGGTTCACAGCAGGTTTAATCGTAACAGCCCATCATCAGATCAGAAGGATGAATTAACAAATTGGATGTATACATACAACAGATACTACTCAGCAATCAAAGGAATAAAAAAATACTGCATTCAACAACATGAAGAAAACTCAAAACATTATTCTGATTCAACGAAGTGGGACATGAGAGTACACAGTATGGTCTCATTTATGTGAGGTTCTATGGGAAGCAAAACTAAATGCAAAGGAAAGAAATCAGAACAGTGGTTGCTTCTGGAGGCAGTGGGGGCAGGGACTGAATGAAGAGGGTATGAGGGTAATATACTGCAATATACTCGATGCAGACTGGGTTTGCACAGACACCTGCATCTGTCAAAGTTCATTAATGGCACACTAATGATATGTGCATTTCTTCATACATAAATTTTTGCATACATACAAAAAAGTATAAACAAACACTAAACACTAGTTAATAACATGCATGTCAAATTGTTTAGGGAAAAAGTGTACCAGTATCTGAAACATAATTTGAAATGCATAAAGATGATTAAATTGTTATCATTACCCTGCCTGCAGCTGAAAAACACTGGTTTGTTAGGGCTTGCTGTTCCAGCAGAGCAGCTACATCTCTGGCCCTTTAAAGTGGCATCTCAGGTTTTATCTGATACCTAAAACAGTAACTGCTTAGCTTGTGAATACCTCTTGGCGAAGTGGAGAAGCTGCTAAAAAAGCCTATCGCCTGGGTCAAAGACCCACCTATAAAACCTGAAACAGTAAATTACATAGACGATGACACGGGTACTCAATTCAAGGACCTTGGTCTTAGAGAAGACTTTATGAATTTGACTCCAAAGGCAAGGAAAGTAAAGGCAAAAATAAATGACGGGACTATATCACACTAAAAAGCTTCAGCGTCGCAAAAGCAGCCGCGAACAAAACAAAAAAGTAACCACTAAATGGGAGAAGACACCTAGAAACAACAGCTCGTATGGCTGAACACCAAATCATTTAAAAAATGGGCAGAGCACATAACAGACACTTCTCCCAAGAAGACATAATAAATGGTCAACCGATATATGACAAGATGCTCAACTTCACTAGATATTAGAGAAATAAAATTCGAAACTACAATGAGATTCCACCTCACAACTGTTAGAATAGCTACTATTAACAAGACAAGTAATAACAAATGTTGGAGAGAGTGTGGAGAGACTCAAACAGCTTGGTTTTCTACATAAATAAGGCACTGCGTTAAGTATAGATTCACCAATCCCAGGATTCCAAAGCATTGGCACTTGAGAGATTCACAGTACCTCCTAGTTACACCAGGCAGTACAATTTAGGACAGGTGTTCTCTTCTCTTAGGAGCTTCTCCAGCTTAACAAAGGGGCAATCACCAGGTATTTACTATTTCGACTATCAGACTAACAATTAAAAGCTGGGAAACCACTTGAATGATCAGGAGTAGGTTCTTCTGGAAGAATGACACACAACAGAGACAGGTGTTTCCCAGCTACAGATAAGGCAAGGAAAACAGTTCAGTGATCTCCAACCAGCATTTAAACATAACGGATTAAAATAATAAAGCAAATGATAGAATCACATGTAGTTGTTTCATGAAACTTTTTCATATACATACCAGAACTAAACATAAAAATTTATTTCTCCTGTGGCTGGAGCAGTGAAAAAGTATGAAAGTTACTGACACTAGGATGCAGAGAGAAAAAGTCTATAAAGCAACTGCTCCTATACAGTTATAAATAAAAATTCTGTATCCCCATGCATACAAAAAGAAAAGATGTCCAGTGATGCACATTCTCTTATACAGGAATGCCTTGGAGATACTGCTGGTTTCACCCAAATCCCCGCAATAAAGTGAGTATCGCAACAAAGCAAATTCCAACTTTTTTGCTGGTGGAGGGTCTTGCCTTAAGTTTCTAAAAAACGTGGTATCTGCGAAGCACAAAAGAGCGAAACATATTAAAATGAGGTATGCCTCTATTATTCAAGAGCACTCACCTACATGATTATGCAGTCACACATTATGAACTTGGAGAGGGAGCTCAGCTTTTCATGATTCAATTTTTCCTCTAAAGTATTTAGATTTCAACACCGAGCCCTCCTAACATCAACTACACATTCCAACATCTATATTACTTTTCTCAAATACTCTCAAATCACTCATTTGAAGAAAAAGAGATCCTGAAGCACTGATAAAATATTAGGTTACAGATATGGACATGCTTTCCCCCTTTATCTGCTAAATAATGTTCTATGTAATGAGCTCCAATTTGCTAATTAGTTTTAAAGTTTCATTGACTATGAAATCAGCCTCCCTCCAAACAATCCCAACTTACTTACACGACATAGACATTAATCTTACATTACATCCAAAAACCTGAGCAAATGTTTTCAAAGTGTTGTTGCAGGACCCCTGGGATCCTTAGGATCCTTCGCAAGGGTCTGTAAGGTCAAAACTATTTTCAGCACTAACGTACTATTTGCCTGTACACTCTTGGACATTTGCATTAAGGGTGAAAAGCAAGGATAAGTTAAGTTTTCTGACCCTTGGCAAGCATACATAAAGCACTTCTCATTTATACCGAAGTATGATGACTGACTGGAAGGAAAGCTCTTCTGTCACTGTTACAAACTAAACTGGCTGCTTTTTTTCATGGAATATTATTTTAACATGAAAGAGTAGCTACACACTACAGTTATTCCGACTTAGACAACTTCCCAAAAATGAACAAGGTTAACCTGCCACTGCTGGGAAACAACTGATAGTACTTGCTGTCAATGATAAAATGCCAGCTTTCAACTGAAAATTAAATTGTGGAGATCTTATACCTGTCACCACGAGCCTGACAGTGTCTCGATACTTAAAGATGTTTCTCAAGACGTCACTCGTGACATTAAATGAGATTTTTAAAACACGGTGGACTGAAATATACCCACATTTGGAAGATGTGCATAATTCAATGAACCAATACTAATAAAATAAACAATGAATTACAATATATAAATATCTTTTAAAGATTCTCGGGTTTACCTTCTAACACAGTAAGTGTCGATAAACACACAAACAAAAGCCCTTCGGGGTTCTCAGTAATTTGGAAGAGTTAATGGGGTCCTCACAGTAAAAGCTTTGACAACCGGTAATCTAACGTATTGTTCTGCAATAAAGTAACGGACATCATCAGTTTAAGGAAGTTCCTAAATCACGCAATTCTTTCTCCTTTTCTCCACTGTTTTTCCAACACAGTCTTAGCCTTCCTGTCAGTGAAGAGCTGACCAACAAACTTTCCTATGTGTATTGAGGGGGGAGGGAATGTAATAAAAAGCCCATTTTGCCAGTAGGAAAGAATCAAAATTAAAAACTAATTCTGAGTCTGCCCTTCCTCTTTGCTTCAGCGGGACACAAACCCTTAGTAAACCACACACGTAACGACAAGAGTCGGGGCAGAATTCTGAAGACTACCGACAGATAAGAACGAGTATGAGGCACAGTTAGGGAAACTGCGAGGGAATAAAGAGCAGCTGGGGGAAATTTTGCCAAAACCTTGGGTTTTCCTGTACCTCCCCCACCTGCTCCCTAAGGTTCCCGAGTAAAAGGGGGTCAAGGGTGGACCTGGAGGGGCCGCTGCAGGGTAGGCGAGGGCACCTCTCGTTAAGCCCAAAACTGCCGAGTCCTCTCAGTACCAGTCCCCTAACTCCCAGCCTCCCCTCTCGCGACCCCTATACAACCCCGCGCCCACGGCCACAAGACTTACCACCAACAGGTTCCGGTCCTCCACCAGCTGCCGCTTCCGGAGGATCTCCGACTTCAGAACGTCCATGTTGCCCGACTTTAGGTTTCCCTTTGGGGGTCCTCCAGCGAGCTCTCACCCAGCGGCCGAAGCCGAACCACAAAAGCTGTGACCCCAACGCTGGCCGACCACAGAGACAAAAGCGCTTCCGGCGGAAGCTGAGATGAGCGGCAGGAGGAACAGGGCGCCCAAGGTATCTGTTGTTGACAAAGGTGCTGTGGATTAACGGCCCCTGGCGGCACCCTCCGGCAGTGCGCCTGTGATTCCCGCTGCTACGAGCGGACTGAAAGGCCAGTCTTCTGAATGGTGTGGAGTTCGACAGGCTTCATTTTTAACGATGTTTTATACCTCTTTGTACCTACTAGTTCAGGTCCAAAACCCTCCTCACAAAACACCTGAGTTATTTTTAAATATTGCCATTTTAACAGAAGTTCTTATCAGACTTTCTGAAGTTACCTGCTTGCCAAAATTAAGGTACTAGGTAGAGTGAGAGACACGAACTACCAGCTCATTAATATAAAGATTAAAAGGCAGTGTTCAATGCTAGCCTGTTAAATCCCCTGTAAAGTTAAGCAGCCACATCCATTTAAGTTTTTTTGGGAGTAAATATATCTTTCCCACCCTAACTACCTCACAGGAATACTGTAAGACTCTTGAGATGTCAGGTGTGAAAGTTTGTTCCGAACTACGAGGTGCAGCCCTCAATTAAAGTCTGATTATAATGACCCTTTTATCCGCTCCAGTGGCTCTCACCACCCCTCCTACCTGCAATCTTCTCCAACTGCCCGTGTCTATCCAAATCTTTCTGTTGTTTAAGATCAAGCCTCTTAGGAGCCCTCCATCGGAACTGGGTCCTTCCTTCCAACTTTGCTTGTGCCTGTTGCTCTTGTCTTCTTGTCTCCGTATCAGTGATTTTCAACCTTTTTTTAATCTCATGGCACACATAAACTAATTAATAAAATTCTGTGCAAACCAAAAAAGATATTATACTTTTTGCCCATCTGACAAAATAAAAATAGGTATTATTTTGATTCTTTCACACCAACAGCTATTGCTGTGTTGGCTTTTGTCAGGTTTTTTTTTTTTTTTTTTAATTTGACATTCTAAGGGAAAAGAGTTCAGTGCCCCTGACTAAATAGTCAGGTATAGCATATTTTAAAAATTCTTGTGGTTCACTAGTGTGCCAGGATGCACAGGATGAAAATCACTGCTCCATAATCCTACACTATGCTTAGCATTGTACTTTTCAATACTTGACACTCGGGGTGTGTTTGTTAAATAAGATCCACACATCGAATTTCAAAGACCCTAGAGAAACTTCTGTAGAAACCTTATTACAGCAGTGAGAAGTGATAGTTGAGAATAGAGGAGAAGCCTGTAAAAACCCAAACTGAGAAATATAAAATTCTGCATATATATATATATATATATAGTCTCACTGACTGAAGTAAATAAAGATTGAAAGGGACTAATAAGGATTAATCTTAAATACTAGGCTTAGAAAAAAATTAAACAGAAAATCCTGTGCTTTCTTGCACAACCAAAAGAAGGACAACAGCAAATATGAAAACAAAAATAACCAGAACTGCCAGAAAATTGAACTGTATGGAAGTTTGACAACCAAAGAGCTAAAGAAGAAACATTCATCCAGACTGGTAGGAGGGGCAGAGACAGGCAGCCCAGGTGGAGAGGCCACATGGCAAAGTGGTGGCTCGAGGGACCAGATGGGCAAGACTGCAGCTGTCTGACTGGGTGGTCCCACATTTGCATGCAGATAAACCAGAGGAACAGCTGGAGAGCGAGACAGACTGCACTATCCATGGTTCCAGTGTGGGAAAAGAAAGCCTCAAAACCTCTGGAGGTAAAAACCTGTGGGGGTTGCGGGGACAGGAGAAACTCCCAGCCTCCCAGGAGAGTCCATTGGAGAGACCCACAAGGTCCTAGAATGTACATAAACCCGCTTACCCAGGAATCAGCACTAGAAGGACCCAACTTGCTTGTGGATAGTGGGGGAAGTGACTGAAAGCCTGCCAAGAGCCAAGCAAGTAGAATTGTTCGCTCGGACCCCTCCCCGACATACAGCGTCACAACTCAGTGACCTGATATGCCCTGCCCTGGTAAACACCTAAGGCTCCTCCATTTCCAACCTAACAGGTGCATTGAGACAAAGAAATATGGTCCAAATGAAAGAACAGATCAAGGCTCCAAAAATAGAACTAAGCAGAAAGAGATAGCCAACCTATCAGGTACACAGTTTACAGAAAAAGTTCACCTTTCTGTGAGTCATCAGGATGCTCACAGAAATGGTTGAATATGGTCACAAAATGGAGGAAAAAGAGAAGGCTATGCAAAGTGAAATAAAGTAAAATACACAGGGAATCAACAGTGAAGGGAAGGAAACCGGGACTCAAATCAACCATTTGGAGCAGAAGGAAGAGATAAACATTCAGCCAGAACAGAATGAAGAAACAAGAATTTAGAAAAATGAGGAGAGGCTTAGGAACCTCTGGGATGACTTTAAACATTCCAACATCCAAGTCATAGTGGTGCCAGAAGGAGAAGAGGAAAAGCAAAAAATTGAAAACTTACTTGAAAAAATAGTGAAGAACTTCCCCAATCTGGGGAAGGAAATAGACTTCCAGGAAGTCCGGGAAGCTCAGAGAGTCCCTAAGGATTTGGACCCAAGGAAGCACACACCAAGGCACATAGTAATTACATTACCCAAGATTAAAGATAAGGAGAGAATCTTAAAAGCAGCAAGAGAAAAGGAGACTTACCTACAAAGGGGTTCTCATAAGACTACCAATTGATTTCTCAAAAGAAACCTTGCAGGCAAGAAGTTTTCAAAGTTATGAAAAGCAAGGGCCTACATCCAAGATTACTCTATCCAGCAACGCTATCATTTAGAATGGAAGGGCAGAAAAAGTGCTTCCCAGATAAGGTCAAGTTAAAGGAGTTCATCATCACCAAGCCCCTATTATGTGACATGTTAAAGGGATATATCTAAGAAAAATAAGAAGATCAAAAACTATGAACAGTAAAATGGGGGAAGGGGAAGAATGGGGGGAAAGGTACAGGGAATAAACAGCATAAATAGTAGGTACAAAATAGGCAGGGAGAGGTTAAAAATAGTATAGGAAATGGAGAAGCCAAAGAACTTATATGCATGACCCATGGACATGAATTAAGGGGCAGAGGATACTGGGGGGTGGGGCGGTTCAGGGTGGAGGGGAATAAAGGGGAGAAAAAAATGGGACAACTGTAATAGCATAATCAATAAAATATATATATTTTAAAAAAAGAAAACAAAACCAAAAAAATCCTGAAATATAATGACATTATTAGAATCTGAAGAATAATTTCATGCTAAAAAAGAGGAGTTCCAAGTATTTAACAGCACTGAACTCTTTCACACAGGTGCTAAGTTTAGGAACTGCCATGAAATTCATTTTATTGATATATATTTCATTGCTTTCCTAGATTATCTGCAATAACTATTGGATATTCAAAATAGTTTCTAAATAGTTTTAAAGGGGCTTTAAATCATAAATGATTTGCACTTAAGATGCCCTCATTTTAGAGAAAGAAAGAACCTAATTTTCTTTTCCATTTTACTGATAGAATGGTTGTTCCATGGCAGTGGTTCTCATGGTTGTGATTAGCTTTAATAACAGTAACGGTGCCTGCCTTCCTTCCTCCCATCCTTCCCCCTCCCTCCCTCCTTCCCCCCTTCCTTCCTTCCTTCCTTCTTTCCTCCCTTCCTTCCTTCCTCCCTCCCTCCCTTCCTTCCTTCCTTCCTTCCTTCCTTCCTTCCTTCCTTCCTTCCTTCCTTCCTCCCTCCCTTCCTTCCTTTTTTTAAGCAGACAGCATTCCTCTTTCATAACAACGCTTGGAAAGGGCTAATATGGGTATGGAAATCAAATAGGTTTTGTCCTGCCCTTATTCATTGGTAGTGATCATTATGTTAAACAGTAGCAACTCTTCTATTTAATGACTTGAATTATACCTAAACCTATTCTTAGTCAGCCTGGCAATCAAAGAATTGAGCTGCGTCCTCTTCTCCTAAAACACACACAGACACTTACAAATCCTCAAAGTGTGTGTGTGTGCACACACACAAAAGGTCATAGCTTTATAGTGGTGATGCATGTTAATTAGGTAGATTGTAGTGACCTTCACACAATGTATATGTATATCAAAACATTAAGTTCTATGTCTGAAGTATATGCAATTTTTATAGGTCAATGATATTTAATAAAGCTGTTTTTAAAAACAAGTGTGTGTGTTGCAGGAGGTGAGGGTATGGCAATGTTTACTTTGACATTTTCACTGCATGACCTGTAGGGCCCTGATGATTTGGATCCTTCTTATCCTTCTAGAGTGGCATCGCTCTCTCCACTGCTGTACTCCAGCCATGCTGGTCTCCTGTCATTTCCCAAACATGCCACGCCTTTACCTGTCTCATAGGCCTTCTTACTTGCTAACATTTCTGCCTGGAATAGTCCACTCTCCCCTTCAGGTCCTACTTTAAATGGGGCCTCGAAGACCCATTTCTTGACCATCCCCTCAGCAGTTCTTTTCAGTGTTATTTCATAGGAATAATCACTCTGTTATGGTCTTTTAGTTTACTTACATTGTTTTATAATCTTGAATTTTTTTTCGGATGTCATCTCTAATGGAATGCAGACTCTTGGAACTTAAGCAAGCACATTGTTTCTGGGTATACAGTAGGTGCTCAATATATATTCATTGTATGAGCCAGTGGAAAATTTCACCATAATTGTAAGCTTTTCTAAATGTGTGCTTTTCGCACCCTAGCTGGTGTAGATCAGTGGAATCTGTGTCAGCCTGCGAACCTAACGGTCACTTCCCAGTCATGGCTCATGTCTCAGTTGTGGACCAGGTCCCCATTAAGGGGCACGTGAGAGGCAACCACGCATTGATGTTTCTCTCTCTCTCTCCCTCCCTTCCCCTCTGTCTAAAAATAAATAAATAAAATATTTTTTAAAAAACCAAAGCAAATAAATGTATGCTTTTTGCTTTTCTCTGTGAGGTATAACAGAGGAATGTTTGCTTCCCCTAACATCTTATTAGAAAGTCACAGCTGCCATATGTTCCCCTGCTAACATACTGCTCTAG